TTCAATATTTCAAAATTTTTCGGGCGTTTTCGTACAACTACAAAATTGAAGATAGAGATTTTTCCTTTAAATAAAATTTGTTCTCATTAGTGAGTTGTTTCATTGAGGTCATGCTCTTTTTTGAAAATGTTAATAGCTTTCGTGCAATATTGCGAGCAATATGTGCAATTTATAAAATATTTTCACAAAAATGGCTCCTAATTTTTCCTTTAAATTTTTGGTATGGATAGTGCAATATGTACTCTACTAGACATAAACGTCAAATCGCTCTATTCTTTTATTTTTTTCAAAAATGACAAAAAAGGAACTTTTTGACTTGTCTCGCGCGTCGTTAATATTTATAGCAGCGGCAATTTGTTCACATTACTGTATTTATGAGTACATGTGCTATAAATCAATAATATAGTCTTGAAAACTGAATCGTTTTCTGAAAAAATACCTTAAAAGTTCGCATTTTCAGAAACGCTCAAACGTCATTTTTCTCAAACAACAGCTCTAATTTTTTTACTTTAAACTTTTTGAACGGATAGTGCTAATTCCACTTTTTAATATGACGTGAAGTTGATATCGAGGTTTTTTTTTGTTTTTTCAAAAATTGCATAAAAATGTAATTTTTTGAAAGGTCTCTCTTGACGTTAATATGCAAATTTCTAGCAGTCTGAAAACGCTATTGCATTTGTCAATTAAAGTACTTCAAACGAGTTTAAATGAATAAATCACACAAAAATTTTCTGTGAAAAAGATCTTCAAATTTTGAAATTACAGTTGCACTTAAGCACCATTTTCTTAAAAACGGCTACACATTTTTCAGAGAAAATTGCAATTTGGGACGAGATTTCACTGTTCTTTAATATTCTTAAAGTATAATATTTCCGTTCTACTATTAGGAAACCGAAAATTTAAAAAAAGAAATGTACTTAGGGTGGCGATAAATGACAGCTGACAAGAGGATGAGGCAAGTCTGAATAGCTAGCCGAGACCAAAAGAAATAGAAAACTAATACGGGAAAGTTTGTGTCATTCTGTAGCACCACTAGTTATAATTTAATACACCCAGCGTTGCCTGATGATTTTTCTTATACTTATCTTTGTACTCATGAAGCAGAATGAATTATTTTTGTGGTATAAAATGTAAGCATTCATTTGTACACATTCACTCTCGAAACTCTTTCCTGCTCCGCTCCTCCCTGCCACTGTCCCGCTTCCATTGACTGATTAGTGATTCCGGGCCCGTCAACTGCTAAGGTCATCAGTCTCGTAAGTATGATGCATGATTTTTCTTAGGGGGATCTTCACCCCCGATGGACGGTGAGTTCCGGCGCAGACCTACCGTCGGCTAACAGAGTTTACCCCAGCCAGGTATCACAAAAATGTCGTAACGGAATTCCTTGGTATCAAAAAAGCTGGGATTTATGAAGAAATAGTGTCGGAACTCCTTTATAATTATAATGCTCTGGGATGTAATATATTCCTTAATATTAATTTCTGTATTCACACTTAGACTTCTTTCCTGAAAATTTCGTTGCTTTGAGTGACAAACACGGTGAGTGATTTTACCAAGACATTGCAACTATGGAAATATTATTATAAGGGGAAATGAAATAAAAATGTGCTTACAGACTATTGCTGGGCACTAAAAACGAATATATACGAAATACAGCAAACAATAATTTAACGACAGTGTGTACTTTTTAATTGCCTACTCCAAAAAAACATTGCCCGTTACAAAAAATGCTCCACAAATTTGAAATCAGAGCATTATTTTCCATAAGAAACTGCCATTATATTCCATTAATCAAAGAGTTACATTTGTCGACGTGTGTAATCGGGAGTGTACCATTTTGTAAGTATACTGTGCTCTACCCGAGGAACGCCCCACAAGGGGAAACCATGACCGCACAGGCCGGCTGAAGACTTGCAAACGGCCCCCGGACCCTGAGTTTCACGGCGGAACTCACATCGTTAGCTTCGAGGCGAAGGCAGTGAGTAGGCAATGCTAAACTCCGCGCTGCCGGGTTCGACCAGTAATCCACCAGTTGGGCCATCAGGGCGTCGACCTTTGGACGAGATTGGACGGACTTCTTCGGAATGGTCCAGATCCCACTTAAAAAAATCGAGACGGGGACCATGGATCCTGCTGTCAGGTTACCTTCGTTCTTCCAGAACTCATGTCGATAGCTTCAAAGTGCAGTGAGGAGACGGGAGGGGGTCCCAAGCTGCTACGGAATTAGCTCTGGTGACCCCTCGGGCTCTTGGCTTCGTCGTGACTGTGGCCTGGTACTCTAGACATAGAAGAGAGACGTGTCCCGGCGCATTGACTCTGGCACCAGCCTGGAAAGTCGGTAGCTCTGAGCTGGCAGGCCGGAGCATTGAAGGGAGAGGTTAGCCAGAGGGTAAACTGCGGGATCCAGATACCAGCCTGTCAGCGTACTTCTGCGCTGGCGAGTGTGAGGGTAAGGGCTAACGTTTAGGTGCCTACCCAGTGGAGAAATCACCCTGGTAGAACGAGAAATAGTGTGGTGTGATAGACCAAGCGAATCATATACCTGAGGAAAGCATATTAAGAAAAACTAGTGGTGGTACAGTATCGCATTTCTCGAACTAGATCGCCTATTCTCTTGGGCTAGCTTTCCGCCCCAACTCTTCCCAGCACGGCGCGTATAAGACCTATCACGGCCTCTCGCTATACCCTAAACAGCACCTCTGAGGACATTTCCGGTGAAAAACACTCATTCAGTGCATTCAGAACATGGCATAGGACTAATTGGACTGTACCTTTATATTTAGCTAATGATATTCCTTAGGTCCATTTGAGGATGTGTACCGTTGTTCTGGTTGTGGCATCCAGTTACACAATAATTATTTAAATGCTCTATTATTAAACTCACAAATTTCATAGTTGCCAGTCAGGTCAAGAGTTTATGGAAGGATTGTGGTATATATGGGAGGAACTCGAAAGAGTCAAAATATCCACAAGGTTTCGCAACTGAAGTTATTCATGACTTGAGTAGATTTCGAACCCAGCCTTACTGCCCACGTAATTCACCTTTCCCAATACTGTCTAGCGAGGCCGAATAACTTCGAAGTACTACGTGTAAACTTTCTACGTCTATGAAACAATAATTTGATAATATTTATTAAAGAATCTAGTTTCGTATGGACACAATAATGAAGTAGTACGAATTTCTTATAATAAATATTGGCAGTTATGTTTAAAATTATATTCATTGTCTATTAGATTCCTGGCTAAAAAATTGTGTTTTTATGCATTCATAAGATTGTGCACTCAGAGGCATTTGCACAGTGGAGGCAAGAAGGGCCGTACTCCACTGCTAAATTTGAAAGGGGTTCCACAGCCTTAGGTAAAAAACATTTTATCCCCACAAATAATTTAATCATTGATTTCTCCCCTTTTCTCCTGACAATTTGAAAATTTGTTGTACAACATTTGAGGAAGGGGCTCTCCAAGCCATCTGACAACC